GCAGATATCAAATGGATACAAAGAGTTTTGAGTACGATTCTATTTTTGTTTGTTCGATTTTTTGTCTTTCTTTAATACATCAAACGTACCTCAAGACAAACTTCACTTCAAAAATAGAGAAAAAAAAGAACATAACTGTCTGTCATACATGTCTTTGAATGAGTAATCGTCAATAAAATTTATAGTTATCAAAAGAAAAAAGACAATAAAATAATAAGTAATTCAATATTTGCTAGATTCAACTTTTATAATTTTCTTTTTCTTTTTCATACTGACAATGATCGTTATTACATTTCCATATCTTTATATGATCTATGGAATAATTATTTGTTTAGTTTGTTCAATAATTTTCCTAGCTCAATATTATGATTCAGAAAAAATTTTACATTATCTATGTTCGTTATGTGCTGTTGGTGCTCTATATGTCCCTATTTTTTTAAAATATCATTCACCTTGGACTGAATTTACGGATGGATCAGTTGCCATATTTTCAGCAGTAACTGGATTTTTATTTGCTTTAAAAATCCTTGAAATTGCTTTTACATATGAATGGTCAAAACAAAAACAAATAACATTAAAACAAATTCTTATAGATTTTTCAACATTTCCAAAATACAAATATGAACCAGAACCATCTTTAGTCAAGTAATATTTTTAAAATTACATTAAATGAAATTTTATGTATGTAGTAGTTTAGATTAAAATCAATTCATCCGACATTTTTAAATCATATAAATTATCTTATTATTGGTACTGATGATGAACAACTTTCAGCTCGTCGACAAAATATTTTAATTATTTTTCGTGGTTTATTTCAATTGATATGTTTACATATTCTTCTTCATTTTACACCCTATTCTATACTTCGTCTTCATAGTCGAAATGCAAAATTATTTTCTTTAATTCATTTTCTAATATATACTCTTTATGCATTTATATTTTATTTTGCTCTTGGTATGGTACTTAATATAGTATTTGGTTTAGTGGGTTTTATTTGGAATATTCATATACGTTCAATATGTCCAGGTTATCCATTTTTACCAACAAGTCTTCATGATTTTTGGTCTCGTCGATGGAATATATATGTTAAATCAATTCTCCATCGTATTGCTTTTATTGCTTTACCAAAATTAACGGGTTTCCATGAAAAATCTAATGCTCGATTTATATCTGCTGGATTTTTTGCATTTTTTGTCTCAGGTCTTTTACATGAATTTATGTATACTGTGTCAATGGATCGATGGTCTGGTGGAAAAAATATGCTTTTTTTTCTTATCAATGGAATGTTTGTTGGTATTGAACTTGTTTTTCAAGGACTTTTAAGGCGAAAACAATTAGTCCCACCATTTTTTGGTTGGATTTATACCATTGCAGCTTTATACTCAACAGCTCATCTTTTTTGTGATCCATGGATTGAGACCGATTGTTTTGCTACATTGAAAACACATTTGGGATAAGAACATTTTTATTTTATTACATTTGTATACGTTTCAAGGAAAATAAATAAAATTATATTATCATCCAGAATAAACACAAAGAATACTTTTTCTTTTTGAAGTCTTTACTCTGACTGAATACGACATTATTACCCTTGTTGCACTGGACGTCTTTTACAAAAAAACAACTTCTAGTTCCAATGCGACATATAATAGTTTTTTGTTCTTCAAGAGTCATATTATGCAATAAAGTGTGTATCCTTCTATAAATGATTAAAAATACAATTTTCTCGATAATTTTGTTCTGTTTGTGAGTGAAATGTCCTTTGTGTATTGAATAGTATGACATGCATAGTTAATGAACTTTATGTAATATATTCTAAAGGCTTTTATATGAATATGAACTTTAGATGTCGAAAAGGATGTTCTTAATCTTATGAATTTAAAATGGAAGAATTATTTTATGTCATTAGATAGTTTGTTTTTTGTTCAATTATATTCTACTTTGAGTATTTAATTTAATTCAATGAAAATAAATTTTTATATTTCAAATCTCGATTAATATTCAAATTTATTATAAGAAAGTAAGTATTAGATTTAGAAGGTTAATTGAAATAGTACTTGTGTTTGTCTTGTCATTTGATGTACTGTTGACATCTGTGATAGAAAAAAATATCGATGATGACTATACATGTGCAAATATTGTTCTTAGTAATGACACAGTTGTCATCTTTCTTTGTGAAGTTAATGTTGGTTTGGCAGTGACTTCAGTTTTCAATATATTCATCATAGTTGATGATATTATTATTTTTATTGTCAAATTTTTTGAGCTATCGTAAGCAAATAAAAAGAAATCATGCAATTAAATATACTAAGATTTTGAAAAATATCAGAAAGTCGATTCCAACTGTATAGAGAGAATAATATTATTAACTATCTATGTTTTGGTCTAATTAAAATGTAAAATTACGACAATATTCAGATATATGACAATAAAAGAATATGTTGTTAAAATATAATTAACTGACAATAGTTTCTTATCTATATCATTACAAATTTTTCGAAGGGAATCTTTCCGACTGGATCCATATATGTCTCTAATAAAATCGTCTCATTGAAGTCGAAAGAAAAAATGTAATTTTCAAATTGGTTTCTACACGTTTGTCTTTAACTAATTGCAGCTAATTTTCAATTATCGGCATAATTGCTCTATCAATATATAATAGATACACTTGCGACGAGCATCAGTGTGATTGTAATAAAGAACAATTAATTCTCCTAGTGTCACAACCTTCAATCCATGAATTTCATCTTGAAGAATATGCAAATATTAGTTAGGAACAAAAATGATTGGACGACTTCTGTAAGTTTCTT